AAATGCTGACAATATACAAACACAAGCATGACCAAATAAGGCTGGTAATAAACACCATCCCAGCCAGCTGCAACACAAAGGAAAGTGTGGGTAGTCCAATCCAAAGGCATATGAGCGTCCCCAAGATGATAGCAATAAACACTATAACTGCAACATAAACGTGAACAGTCCGTTTAAAAGTGCTGATCATCACTTGAAGGGAAATACGGAGCACAGCACAAAAGTACTGCCCCTGCTGAATTAGCCATGGGCAAGTGTTTTACGCACATACACACATGCATGCATTCACACAGGCATAATATTTATACACTGGAAAATCACATGGAAAAGGTGAGCTCAGAACTTGCTGACTAGAGAACTGTCACACCCTTTCAGCAGCAGCACAATAGCAGAAGTAGATGCAAGAAAAGGAGATGTACAAGATACACTCAAACCTCATTATAACGAAGTAGCATATTACACAAAAATAAGTTTGTCATATCCAAAAATTTGTAATAAAGGCATAGTTCGAACACTATACCTATTGCAAAACTATTCTTCATTCTCTTAGTTACAACCGATATTTCGTTATATCCGAGTCCGTTATCTTGAGGTTTAGTGTAAAAGTATACTGCCAAATATTTTAAGCAGTAACAACTGGAAGAAAAAAGTTATATGACATAGAATATTACACACAACACATGCAAAAGCATGCATTCCATCACAAATGCCACACTTCATCCATTTTTGTTCTAAGGACATGGCATATGTATACTAAGTTTGCAAAGGTAATATAAAAACAATGCTGTTGAATAATTGGGAAGCATACCTTTAAAGAGGGCTACTGGTTGTTATTCGGATGAATGTATTAAGTTAATGCCAATCAGGGTGCTAAGCATGTGATGAACCAACACCACCTAGACTATTCACAAGGCCCGTTCATACCCCTCTCTCCAGACGGCATACGTCACGCTAGTTGTCGGATGTTATGACCGGCACAGCAAGGAGGTGGCTTGCAAGGGACGCTCATCGGCGTAACGGTCAAACGCTGTCCACGTCCTGCAGGAACGCGGGAGGCGTCTGTGTGCACCGCAGGAAATGCACATCAGCGTCGCTGGGACACACAGTTGGCGTCTAGCGCGTGCACGGACGGCTATAAAAGGAGCGTGTCAGGAGTGTACTGTGCTCTCTCTATGGACTTCACTGGCCCGCTCGTCTCGAGTGCGCTCTGGGCCCTTGTGATGGAAAGGCGCGTCTGTACGCTCTCGTTGCAATGTACTTCTCTTGCAAATGTGTAAATTAAACGCATCCTCTACTTGTTCGTGAGACGCGTCACAAGAGTCGTCCTTCGCCGGATCCTGGGTGGCAGCCTCAACCCCTCCCCGGACATATCACCGACTGTCCAGTGGCCGAGGACGCGTCGCTCAGGTGGTGGTGTTGGTCACCCCGCACACTTTTTTACCTCGAACGGCGAACAAGCCACGACAGGTTTGCCTTTCATCGCTACCTGCTTCGCTGGTTAGACTGCGTTAGGCTTGGTGCTGCATCGCACTGCTCTGAGTCTTCGTCTGTTCCCACGTGTCCTATTTTATTGGTGTTGTACTTGTGAGTACGTGATTACACATCGATCAGTGCGACATGGGTCGTTGTTGTGTTTCGCATTCCCCAAGGATGAAGCTCGGAAGAAGTCTTGGATAAAAGCCATTCCGCGAAAGGATTTCACACCAAGCATACACTCCAAGGTGAGAAACTGCTGAAGTTTGTTGTCTTACCGGCTCTATCGCATTACTGGTGTTCTGACTCTGTTATTGTTGAACGGAGCGAGTATCGTGAGTGGTGATGGTAGTTTTGTCGCGCTTCAGGTAGGGAAGTGCGGTAAAATAAAACAGAAATACTCAGGCTCGTGTCAAAGTTCCCATTAGCCCGTTTCGTATGAAAGTAATGAAGTCACTGTTATGGCCCGTTTCGTATGAAAGTAATGAAGTCACTGTTATGCTTGGCGCAGGTCTGTGAACTCCATTCCTCGAGGCTGACTTCATCACAAAGCTGTCACATTTCGACGCAGCGTCACGGACGCTGCGTGGGGCGGACATTGACAGTCGACAGCGAGAGGGTGCGCCTAGTGTCAGATGCTATAGCATCGGTGTTTCCGAACTGTCCGTCCTACCTGAGCACGAATCCCAATCGTCGAGAATCTCCTGTCTCGAAACGAGCTTGAATGGAAGACGAGGCCTTGTGTAAAGCGATTAAGGACTCTATATGCGCAAAAAAAAGCGAAGAGGAGAGAAATGCTGTGTCCTCTTTCGAACACTTAAGAGGCAAGCTTTTTGCTGTATGCAGTAATGATTTCTGGACCATCAAGGCCAACGAACGTTCTGTGATGTTTCTCCGCATCGAAGATAATCCTTCACCGCACGTGAGGTTTTCCGTCACTGTGCTTGCTGATCTCTCATTTGCAGTCTCAGCAGGTATGATCAAGCTGGTTTCATTACCTTGCGGAGGCGCAGTTCCAGACGCAGTGCGCGACATCCGGACGTTGTCCTCACTGCTCCAGCAGCTGGAAAACCACATGACTGAGACGCCTGAAGTTGCAAGTCCGTCGAAAACAGCGTCAATGTTGCAGCATATCGGCTTCTTATTGAATGAACTGTCCCAAGACAGTGACACGACCGAAGAACACAGTGCTTTGTTTCGTTTGCTAAATGAGCAAATAGCTCTCGCACTCGCTGCTCCCATTCGACGCTACAGTGCTGAAACATTAGTGTTTTCTATCATCCTGCACTCCATATCTCCGCACGCCTATAACTTTGCCAGATCAGCGTCGACGTTGACTTTACCCCATCCTTCAACCCTGCGCCGCGTTTGTTCCAAGTATGGAGGCGATCCACTGAAGGAGCAAAACGAAGCGAACTTCCTCTCCTACATTCGAGAAAGAGTGAAGTGCATGCAAGCCGCACAAAAAGACGGTGACGCTAATGGTTGATGAAATTCATATCAAGCCATACTTCGATTATAAAGGGGGCAGCATAGTTGGATCTGCAGCCAATTCTCAAGAGGCAGCCACAATCGTTCATGTTTTCATGCTTCAGTCGCTCTTGTCATCAAACAAAGATGTGCTTCACATTCTTCCTGTTGCTAAAATAACCGCCAAAATTCTACATGAGTTCTGCAAGAAAGTAATTTTAGAAGTGGAATCTATGGGCCTCAGGCTCATTGCTGCAATTACCGACAATTCTCTCAACCGGAAAATGATGTCGTTTTTCTCAGAGAAACAGGAAGTAAGCATTGTATATCCTCATCCAGCCGACAACAATCGGCCTCTGTTTTATGTCATAGACCCTGTGCACATACTGAAATGCATCAGGAACAACTGGATGAATAAAAAAACGAAGGAATATGCTTTTACTTTCCTGAAGTGAGCCTGTCAGGAATATTGCCCAACGGGCCGCCCAGAATGCAAGCAGCATCATTTGAAGCCGTACGGCAGCTGTATGCACTGGAGCAGACATCGCTTCTCAAGCTTGGCTGCAAGCTAAATTCCAAGGCAATCAATCCAACACCTATGGAGAGACAAAATGTAAAGTTGGTGTTAAATGTCATTAATCCGTTTGTATCAAACGCACTTGAGACGCGTGGCGATGCCCTTGAAACCACATGTGCCAGTTCAACAGCTCTCTTCATAAACATCATATCGACGTGGTGGAAAATCGTCAACGTGAAGACCCCTTCGAAAGGTCGCCGACTGAACGACACCCTTCAAAATCCAGTGAATTCTACGGTGGATCAACAGCTGGTTTTCCTTAGTGGCATGGTAGACTGGCTGGATGCTTGGAGCAGCGTCAACATGAGCCGTGGCTGCTTGACAAGGGAAACACATTCTGCGTTGAGACTCACTTGCTACTCCCTTGTTGAGCTGTCGCGGTACTGTTTAGAAGAACTGAAGTTCAAGTATGTCTTGCTGGGAAAATTTCAAACTGACACTCTTGAAGATCGCTTCGGTCGTTACCGTCAGCTTGCTGGTGCACAATATCATGTTTCCGTGAGGCAGCGTCTGCAAAAGCTGCTGATGCTTCCGCAGCCAGACATCAGCAGCGAAAGTGACACAGAAGTATCGCAACATAACTTCTCTGTTCACATCTCAAATGATGAAATTTCCAACCCAAAGCATGACATGGAGGTCGTTGCTTATATCGCTGGATATTGTGCTCATTCAGCTCTGAAGAAGCTGTCATGTGCATTTTGCAGCAGCGTGCTCGTCCTGGAGAGCAGGAACATAGATGTGGAAGGTAACACAATGATTGACAACTTGTCAAGAGAAAGCTTAAAGTTTCTGCAGCCATGTACTGTGCACATGGTGCTGATGACAACGCTTGTTGTCGAAAAGCTCACCAAGGGAGAAAATGCAAAGGCGTTCCTCGCGTCGAACAACCAACGTGGCATTGTAAGCTCCATTACCACATCACTGCTAGGAGATCTTGAGCTAGAGACTTGTGAAAATGGCCATACCTCTGAGACTATCGTGCGGCATGTAGAGTGTGTTGCAACAAATGTCGCTCTGAACAACTTTTGTAGACTTCGAAATGACACCATCCAAAGCACCGCACAAAAAAAGGCAGCTGACAGAAAAATCAAAACCTTGAGCAAGAAATGAGGTAGGATGGTTTTAGCCTTTCATCCTAATAAAACCACTTCTACAAATGCATTTCTGACTATTACAGATTGATCACTAAAGTGTAAAGGCAGGCGTAAACAAATGCAGACCGCGCAGGAACAAAAAAAGAACAAAAAAAGAAACACCGGCTTTCAATAAGTGCCCACAGCAGATATAACGAGAAGGAGTGGCGACGACGGCCGGGGTGCAGGTGGGCAACTAGCAGGAACAAAAAAAGAACAAAAAAAGAAACACCGGCTTTCAATAAGTGCCCACAGCAGATATAACAAGAACGAGTGGCGACGACGGCCAAGGTGCAGGTGGACAACTAGCGTGACGTCACGCTCTCCCTGGAGGGGCCTTGTCAATAGTCTAGGTGGTGTTGGATGAACCGCATATGTCTACAGTTTCGCTGGCAGATTTTTCAACTGATTTTAATAGCCCTGATTCACATTTGCTTTACTACTTTTCATTTCTCTTAGACATGAAACAATAATAAAACAGCATATATACAAAACAAATGAGATATGAAAATACAAGTCTTCTGCATGCAATGAACTATAAATGTCAAAATTTTGAAAAAAGAAAAATTTTTTTTCAAAATGCTCTCGCCTTTCAGTGCTGCATTTTTTTATACCTGCAATAAATACAAAGGCAACAAAAGACCACACGACCATTTTGGTAGGCAAAAGAAGGAGAGAGAGCAAAAAAAAAAAAAAAAGACCACCACCATAGATGGCTTCCAAGGACAACGGTACCTGCACAGTACATATACTACTTGCAAGGGAAGGATTACTGGCACATTTTATCCAAAAGAAAGGTATGCACCTGTCAATACTATTAACATGTTAACATAAGTAACAAAAAAACTAGTCTAAAGCACAAGGCAAATACAACAATGTAACAAAAAACAGTTACTTCATGGTGCAGATAGAACAGTTTACAGAGACCACAGCCTAAAAACAACTGACTGCCTTGATAACAAAAGCAACTATTCTAGGCTTTAACCACAGCACAAGTCTGCAAGACAAGGCTAAAGAATGCATTATCGTGTATAAGAAAATAATAAATCAGCCTAAAAAACAACTGACTGCCTTGATGACAAAAGCAATTATTCTAGGCTTTAACCACAGCACAAGTCTGCAAGACAAGGCTGGAGAATGCATTTTTGTGTATAAGCAAAAACAAATGTACAAAAAATAACAATAATACAGCTTGTAAATGGGGCTTATTACATATAATAAAGAGCTAAAAAATAAGGCAATAGGGCAAAAGACTTAAAAACACAATGCTTGGCAAATGATACAACAACTAAGATACAGTGTAAACCCATCAGACGCATGCACTATACAAATATGTTAAGCATGCAAAAAAATTATATTTTAAAACTAGTGCATTCGTCGCAGCTCGTGTCTTTTTAAGACCCAGTTTTACGTTTGGTAGAACATTCAAACAAGATAAAAAATCCTTTCTTGTGAGTAAGAAACTAATTACCTAAAATTATATGTAGAAAAAAACAAACCACATCGCAATCACTTTTTATAACCAAGTTACTTTGTGACAGTATAGAATGAAATCGTTTTAGTTATATTTAAATACTACTATTTACACAATTTTTTCGGAACATGGGAGAACATGCAGCAGAACTGGTTAGGCTGCAATGAACAAAATGGCCCAGCATACATCTGTCTCGCCAGAAATTTCACCATGATATAACTTGATATGGTTAAGTAGCCCTGCCATCTGGCACCAAATGATTGTCACAAAAATGTGAGACAATTCATTCAGTAACAAACAGTGGCACAAAGCAGTTTGCCCAGTATGAAAATAAGCCAGCTAGATAAGTTTTCAACTAGAAAAAAGAACGAGCAAAAACGTACATTGTGCACTATAAAAAAGATTTGTGCAAGAAAGAAAGAAAAGAATGCTTTAAAATGCTCTCTGCTGGATATCTCTTTCATACTGAACACACAGTAAATCAACACTTTCAAAATGTTACACACAATGAAATTACATTGCCAGGTCACACCAAACACTAACAGCTTTGTACAGCATAACAAGATCAAAAGAGTCCAAGCAGGCAGCCACAGTGTGTTCGTCAGAGTCAGTTTCAGCTCAGGAATATTTTTTTTTTCATCACACAACAGTGCAAGACGAGTCATTGGGGGGTGAGCCAGACCTCTTAAGTACTTTAATCGGCGACACACAACCTGCTGTGAGAAAAAGATGTTATCAAGAATGCTACTCTACAATATACACCATCCCTTTCCCTTTTGAAGCACAAAATAAAAGTGAACACATGCTCACATAAGGCATACTGTAAAACGGCATGCCAAATTTGTGTAAAAATCACAAAAGTAAAAACAGTGCACTTTGTAAAGAAGTGACCCACATGGTAAATAACTTTCATGTTCTACTCTTCAAAGAATAAAACTATGTTGCCCCTAACAACTGCAACTTTTTTTTCAAGAGACACTAAAGTCAAATAACAATTTCATCATCATCACCAGCCTGACTACGTCTACTGCAGGACAAAGGCCTCTCCCATATTCTGCCAGTCAACTTGGTCTTGTGCATGCTGCTGCCAATTTATAGCCGCGAACTTCGTCTCATCTGCCCACCTAACCTTCTATCTCCCCCTAACCCGCTTGCCTTCTCTAGGAATTCAGTTAGTTACCCTTAATGACCAGCGGTTATCCTGTCTACGTGCTACATGCCCGGCCCATCTCCATTTCCTCTTCTTGATTTCAACTATGATATCCTTAACCCCGTTTTGTTCACCAATCAACTCTGCTCTCTTCTTGTCTCTTAAGGTTACACCTACCATTTTCCTTCTCACTGCTCGCTGCGTTGTCCTCAATTTAAGCTGAACCCTCTTTGTAAGTCTCCAGGTTTCTGTTACGTAGCTAAGTAATGGTAAGATGCAGCTGTTATATACCTTCCTCTTAAGGGATAGTGGCAATCTACCTGTCATGATTTGAGAGTGCTTGCCATATGTGCTTCACCCCATTCACTGCAACAATTTATGCCACAGTGAAAGCTATGACAATGTCTAAAATGACAATAATATCAACAGCACTGCCCTGCTTGCAGATAAATTAAGGTAAATGCATGAGAACACATGCGCTACGATAGGATATTACGTCAGACGTATCACCTACAATTAATCACTAGTAAACGAACTAGCTGCACTAAATAAAGAACCTTCCATGTATCAAGAAACATAATAAAATGCTGCTAGTTCATTTCCGTTTGATTCATGGAAAAACGAACCACTGCACTTTACTATGGGGAATGACGAGAGTGGTTCCGAAGTTCAATTTTCACCTGGTTAAACTGGACAGGTCCTGCCATCTAGCCGAGCCCAGTTGAATCAAAACACGCCTACCATCGCTGAGCCAATGGCGGGGAATTGTTCAGTGGCCGTTGTTGCTGCTGTGGCTCCCGCTGCTTTTGTTCTGCTGCTACTGGTGTCGGCGGCCACGCAGTAAACCCGGGCAACGTTGTGCACGGCAACAGTTTCGTGACACGTTCAGCTCGAGGCGGCTAATTTCAAGTGCGCTAACCCAATGTAGACCACTAAAACATGATATTTTTTTTCAAAATAACCACTTCCTTGACACTAAAGTAACACTAAGAGGTTTTTTTCAGCAATCAATGTCGACTTAATAGTTGCCTTTAGTGTCCCTTTAAATATAGGTATTTGATGGCTTATAATGACAACAGTAGACACCACAGTAGAAGTGCATATATGAATGATATAACTACACAGAATTTTGCCCCTTCAATTAGACAACATTCAGGCATTAATCCCTACTGCAAAACACACAGAAACAATCTATTTTCTTCAGCACTAAAATAGCAACTTGGCCACACCACACAACCCATACATATATCACAAATTCTGGAGTTTACACTGTGCACATGGTTCAATTCAATCAACTGTCTAGCCACGCGATTTTTACTCGGGCCCGTTTTTTAACAACTGAACTACAGCTAATTTGGAGTCTATATTACCTTAAAACACTCGGTGCTGTATAGGGGCACCAAACCTACTAATATCAACACTCTTTATTGGCACCAAAATTTGAGTACATAACAGAGACATTAGAGCGGCCAGGCAAACTTTCGAGCTTCGATTATACATCACACCTTAAACCATACTGTACCTTTCACACAGAGCTCCTAAGCAAGCTGGCAAAATATTAACGCAGTCAACAACAATCATACCTGTCAAGTTCAAGGATTCTGAATTCAAGAGATTTCTTCAATGGGGTGGGAGGGGAGGATGTGCTTTTTCCCAACCTTTTTCTTTCCACAAATGATAATATTATTATTATTAGTAGTAGTAGTAGTACTACTACTACTACTACTACTACTACTGCTACTACTACTACTACTACTACTAATAATAATAATAATAATAATAATAATAATAACAATATACAGAAAGCGGGTTTGGGGGGGGGGTCTCGAACATACCTATAAGTGCAGACATTGCCGTTGCGGTCTCATAATATCTTATAAACAATGCAGATGGAATTTACTAAGGCACGTTGCTACGCTAGTTGGCTGGGGTTCATCATTCATATGGGTAGAGCGCACCAGGACAAGGACGCAAAAAAGAGACACACGCTGTGCCTTCTTTTCCGTCCTTGTCGTGGTGCGCTATACCCATTAGAATGATGACAGCAAATGGGGTGTCCCAACTATAAAATCACAATGATATGTACGTATATCAAGCCGGATCAAAAATATTATCTCCCAAAACTTTGTATGATAAAAAAACTTAGTAAAAACTGTTTCCAAACCATGATATACACATAAAACATATCTTTGCGTCAAAAGAACTTGCGTACGTTTTGAGGGGGACATACGCAAACAGATCCTTCAGGGACGGCGTAGCTGGCTGCCGTGGAGCATACATCAAAGCTTTGCTTCAGGCCAACTGAAAACTAAGTACTAAAGTCCGCTCCACCATGCGAAGAGCGACATGAACACCGAAACGTTCTGTGCTTTCTCTTAAGTCTTGATCGCCTTTTTTAATCTGTTGCTGCATTAACCGCATACGTTCAAAGCTCATAGACAAATTCCACCGGACTTATGTCATGAAAATGCGGTGGCGCTGTCTTGGTAGGCAAAAGACGCTCTGCCTACTAGATACTACTAGATACTTTATCTAGGTATGCTGACTTGCTGCGTAGCGGTTGGATGTGAGTCGCGTCTCACAACTTAGATTTGTTTGTTGGAGCACATCGCAGCGCTTAGCGCTTATGGCTTTCAAACGCTTATGGCCTCTCACAACGTCGTTTTGTTGGGACACATCGCAGCCCTCGGCGCTTATAGCGGAAGTTACGTGCGGACATCGCTATAATTTTAACCATAATGTCGACGACGGCCTACCTGTGTTTACAAACATGGAATGGGTCTATAGTCTTTATCGATGATCGGGTCACAGAGACTGCGGCTCAGTGCGTGGCTATTACCATAAACGGTAGTTCTGTTTCTAAATCCCAAGCACCAGCTGCAACGTGCCTTCAAAACTAAGGCGCTTGTTGCTATCCATTATAGTATCTGCCGTGGTTTTTGTCCTCAGCGTTTGCGAAAAGAAGCGTCGCTTTGATTAATTGAGAATTATACGTGCGTGCATTTTCCGAGTTCAAGGTCAGTTTAGTCATCACCTTACATGATCGTGTCAAGAGCAACGACGGTTTTGTTGGCCGCGCATGCCCTTCTGAAGATTCCAATCAAACTTTGTATCATCTGGCACAATGGACCAACATGCTCAGAACATCCCAATTTAGGCCCATCGGACACAAGTGGAATTCGGTTAGGGAATTTCACAAATTCACATCACCGAGATTTACACTGTACCTTTACATCAACACCTCTTAATACATTTGGGATATAACGCGATGGTTTGATTGTTTTGCCGAAAGCCTGGATCAGATTGGGTAGGATTTGCGTCTATGCGACCAGATCATGCACAGAAATTTCAATTTCCAGAAAACTTTCTCGTCACCCGTACAAACTTAAGGAACTGTCAAAATCCGGGAGTATCCTAGAAGATCCGGGATACTTGGCAGGTATGCTACAACCCTAACTGTTGAAACAAGCAAACCCAAAACCATGTCAGTAAGCTAACCACCTCCTTTTGTCTTGACCACAGGCAATGCCTTGTACTGTAAAAAAACCTAATAAAACAAAAAACAGCAGCTTCCTTGGGTCAATTAATGCCAATTGTTTACAGCAAGCACCAAAAGGCACCAGAACTATGTGTATGTCATGACCGTGCAGAGTTTTGTTTCAAATCGCATGAGATAGCATTTTTTGGTTTTGATTATGCAAGTTAGCACAGTTTGCCATGCCTTCCCTGTGCTAGTGAGTGCCAGTGTTTGGGAGATGTCAGATATGACTTTTGACTGCTTTGAAGCAGTCAATGCAGCCCCACATTTCCAGACAACAAACAGTCCTTTGACAATGGCCATCGCTGTTGATAACAGGAGCTTTAGAAACAGCAATTGAAATGTTCAGTAAAAAACGGAGCATATAACCTTATTGATCCCTTTATTCTCTATAACAATGGTAAGCTGAGAATAGCTGGGACAATAATGTGATGGCCTTTTTTAAAACAAAAAATAAGGTCAGATGAGTAGTGGTAAGGATAGAACTGCCATGAAAAGGTGGAAACATACAAAATGTCGAGTGTTCCCCTTAATACTACGCCACACATGCAGTACACTAGAAACAACTCGTGCAAAAAGCAAGCAATGCACAGAGAGGGCACTTTACCTGCATGGACACCTCCCTCTTCTCCTATGGGTGTCAGGGAGTGCCATCACTGAGGCCAGATGGCATGCGCTTACGGCGGTTGCAGTGCTGGTCACGGCCCAGCCAGGCACGCCGCACGTTGGAGTCAAGGCCTCTTGCGCTCGTATGCTTTCGCTTGACACTGTATGCTCTTGAGTCATGCGGAGATCGTTTCCTTTTGCTCTTTTTCTTTCTTGTTGAGGACACTGTGCTGGCATCACCAAGCCTTAGGTGGACAGGCAGTTTTTTGCTACTGCTTTTGCCAACACGCTCACTTGTATCTGTAGGCTCTTCACCTGTCAAAAGCAAGACCATGCTGTGACTACCCGCAAAAGATGTAAGATGGTTCATGTTATTACAGAGCTATAGTTATCCATGGGAGCTGTTACTATGATTACTCTATGGCATACAACCTTCACAGCATGAAACGTCAGCATAACGGTGCTAACCACTCTATCAGGGCGTAAGCATGTAAATGAACACAAAGACTGCACTACTTAATGAGTCAAATTGAGATGGAATACAAGAAAAAGCATTGAGAAACTATAAAAAGTCCAAACAGTGCACAAGAAGGTGCATTGAGGGGTCCACAACCCCACAAATTCGCCTTTAATGAATGTAATGGCATTGTGACGTCGATTGTACCGCTGCTTGGAGCGATTTTGTGACACAAATGTGCGCAAACGAGCAATTTGGCAGGCTTCTTAGGCACGGCACAATGTTTCGGCAACTGAGTCCTTGGAATGGAGTGTAAATGGAAGGAAAGTATCGAGGGAGCAGCACGGAGATCGTGCGTAGAGTCCATAGTTTCACGCTTCGCTGTATTGCACACGTAGGTAATAAATGGTAAAACCTCATACTAGTTTTCATGATTGAATGAGGCATACACAGTCAGCATATTAGCGAGGGTGTGGTTGGTGCGTTCTACAAGGCCGTTTGTCTGGGAATAATAGGGCATAGAATGTCTGAACTGTGAAGCGCAGAGATGAAGCAATTCTTCCACAGCGTCGGCAATGAACTGGCGACCGCAGTCACTGTTAAGTACTCAGGTGGACCCATGACTAAGAACTACCAATCACAACAAGAAGACCGCGACCCACTCGGCTGTGGAGGACTGCATCAAAGCGGTTTAGGCCTATCTTGTGAAGTGATCGACGCAGACGATTATCCAGCAGTTGCTGTTCAAAGGTTGTGAAAGCGGTCCTAACAATATGTATCAGCTAGGTCATTCCAATTTCTCAGCATTTCAAATTTTACACATTAACATGAAATACTTATTAAAGAGACAGTGACATTAGGAAAACTATCTTGATTAACTCCCAAAATCTGTTTTTAAGATTGCATACTGGAGCAGGTAACGCAAAAAACGGACAATCAGGAGACAGGCGCAAGATCAGCACCATCGTGAAACTGCGTACATCTCGTACCTCTGTTTCTCGCTTGGGTCTGTAGTTCTACACAATGAACTAGGCAGTTTATTCAACTTTTTTTATTAAAGAAATCAAACTCTGATCAGTAGAGAGTTGTGCAATGTCTTGGCAAACAACAAAACTCGTTATAATTACTCAAAAATTCATATACAGCTGAATGAACAAATTTTCTCATTACCATAACAATACGCTCAAAACGCATGGTTCTTATTCCCTTCAATAGTTAGTAAGACAAGTTCAACAGAATGTGGGGCATCAGTGCCTGCTACCAAAAAGTCCGAGCAAATTTGTGGCAAAACAGGAGATTGTTCAATGCCTTTGTTAGGAATGTATTCTGATCTTGTGAGGTCGCTTGGGAGCGCGCTTCACCTTTTAAGAAGAGGCTCCACTCAGACTGAAGGTTAAAAAACAGGCTTGCCTCCTCTGCGTTAGATATCACGAGGCTCATACCCCGAGATGAGCGACTTCAGCTTTGTGAGCCAGAGACTAAAATTGGTCTTGTCAGCCTTCTCAACTTTCCCGCAGACGCTTTTGTAAAGGAGACTGTGTCTCGTTTTGAAACGGTGCAGCCACCCACATGAGGCCTGAAATCTGTTGATGTTCAGAGCAAGTGCAATCTCGTCGGCGGCAGTAACCTCTTTAAACCAAGTCAAAAGCACTTATTCCAAGCTTCACGTGTTGAGCTGTCTTTGCTTGCTTCGAGTTGACGCTGTACGAAAACACATTTTTCATTATTGAGTCCCGCTGTCCAACAATTGTTGGACAGTTGATAATGTTGACGCAGCGAGGCCTAGCTCCTTAGCCAACTCCGTGTGTTTTCTTTTGGGATCCTGATCGACCTTTCGAAGAATGCCCAGTTTCTCCTTAAAGGAGAGAGCTTTCTGCTTGCGAGGCATAGCTTGCTGCAACTCCGCAAAAAGGCACAGTCGCAACAAAGCAACTGGGCAGGACAGCGTTGACAGCCTCCACACTATAGTAGCCACTGTATCCGCACCAGAGAACACCTACCACCAAGCAAAAAAAAGATTGGATTGGATTGAATTTGTGTCTCCACCGTGGCCAGTGCCACCTGTAAACTGTAAAGTGAAAGCAAAAGGCGCACTCCGGTGTGTGACATAGCGCAGATCTTGGAGCATGTCGCCCGCTGCTCGCAGGTGACGCTGGAAAGGTGCCAAACCGGCAGTGCAGCACACCTTCCAGCACCTGCATGCACACTGCTTGCTTCCGCTTCCACGGCTGTCGGTGGGGCGGTGTTTATTCCTATCAAATGACTCGGGTAAAAAATAAGTTCGTAACAACCGTGCTCTAGCACATTGTAAATTAATGGGCCTCGGCCATGACCACAGAAAAATTTGTATTATCCCGAATTTTGGATTAGCCGTGATCGTATCATCAAGATTCTACTGTGCAAATAATTATACCGAATTTTTTGGATATAATAAAGTGTTTTCGTGGCAGTTGTGGGCTTCTGCTAATGAGGTTTTAGTGTAACAGCACTGATAGTATGGCAAGTTGGTAAGGGTAAGGTTATGAGCAAGTTGGTAAAGGTCTAATTTGTAGTTTTGTCCCGATTCTGCATGACTAAGCCAATACTGAAATTGACTTATGTCAGCACAAACACACAGAATGCTCTTACCATTATTTAATAGGAGGCATCAACCTACAATAAAATGTTTAGTCGCCCATCGTGCCCACATGTAAAGCTAAGCTCCATAAAACAAAGATCTTGATGACAGAGGAACTATACTGACTAGTCTTCACGTGTTCCAAATGAGAAAAGATTTAGGCATAGGGTAGCCACGAATGGCCAGTGGTACCATATTCATAGAGATCAATGAGCACTGCTATTCTCCACAAACTTTTGGAGTGTACTGATAGTTTTAGTGACTTGCCTGCCAAGGCTTTTTTGGAGGTCATATGCAATTGAGTTACAATTCTGTAAGAGCACCAAGTTTTATAATTTATCATTTTGCAAAGCTGCAAACCTCACCTTATGCATTACAGGCCAAACAAAAGCCACAGCACGACCAATAAAAAAGAGAGCACATTAGCGCAAACTTGTGGAATTGCAACTTAATTTCCAGTGAAGTTGTTTCTTTTGAGCAGTTGAAGAAGAGTTTCTTAAAGTTCATTCTGACCATAGAAAAAGTATTCTTACAGTAAGATCAAACAAAGCATGCCCAGTCGACCTCTTAAGGGGCCCTGCTACATTTTTTCAAGTAGCCGTAAAATGGAGTCACTATAGAAGCTTATTGCCTCACGAATTCACTGCCGCCAATGTTTTTCAAATCTGCCCAGTACGAGTGGAGTTACAGATCTGTTACACACTGCAATCGCTTTCTCTATTCTCTCGTCCTGACGAAAGCACTGGAAGCTAAGCAGGGAGAAATGAGATGAGGAAAGAGAGCACGTCACATGCACCTCGTGACCTTGAGCACTTTCTCTCTCTCTTTTTGTCTTTGAATACTTGGCTTTTCAGTGTGATTGCATGCACATACGTGGACAAGTCGGAGCCTCCCGTGACAGCCATAACAAGAACTGAGCGGGCTATGCTCACATGAGCCAATGGCTGATACAATGGCTGTGACCGAGTGATTTTCGAGCTTGTTGCGTCATTTGTTGAGAGAAGAGAAAGAAATTTTCAGCTGACTGAGAATTTAGTGTGAATTTCAGGCCGCGTGCTGCACTATCATATTTCGCTTGCGTATTCTCGGGCACCTAAACGACCAATCGGCAGCGTTTTCTGACCGTGCTCAATAAGTGCTTCAGGGCCCTTTTAAATTTATTTTAAAATTTTATATACTCTTGCCTCATGAGTGGAAAGAAGAGATTTACAATTGGTTTCGCCGGATAAATTTTTCCGACGAGGTGGAGTGCTATCCTTACCTGCTATGCTGTTTTTTCCCCCAACTTTGAGGATGAATCAGACAATATAAATTATAGCTACACACCACAAATTTGTTTAGCTAAATATATGCATGTTTTTGCTTGCATTCAGTTATTTTTCGCTTCTTTGGGTAGTGTACATATTTTTATAGGAAACCTCAAAATTAACCCAGAGAATGTTCCTGCTTACTTTGCAGGTTATTTCAAAAAGGGCATATGACAGAGCGGCCAAAATTACACATTACATTCTGAGCATGCTTACTTATAATACTCCCAAAGCATTTACTAATAACAGTTTTCATCGAGATACAATCGCACTAACTTCCAAGAAAACAGCATACAATGAAAAATTCTGACAACAATTAAAACATTTTTTTAAATATTTCTCGAGCTTTACCCCACTAATTCTCTTGCACATCAGCTTTCACAATGAATAAAAAACATATTACATAATTTGGTCTTACTTGCAGTTACGGCCCGTTGAATAGGGACCTTGTGCAAGGATAGGCTATTGTAGATCAGATTTCCTGCCCACTAAGTGTAAAGAATTCAGGCCTATTCGCGATTCCAACTGAGGGCTCGCAACCTAGCAGCCATACTTGGAAACGGTGCTAAATGGGTCAACCTTAAAAAAACATATGTGACCACGTTACGCATGTTGAGAAGCAGCTGCATAGTTTTTTTATTTTCACCATGCCACACGCTTAAGCCCAAAAAAGGAGAAAGCGATATTCAAAGACCATCAGAGTGTGCCACAATGCATGGAATCACTGGTGGAAAGATGGCAACATAACGAAGGATGCAGACGACCTGTGACGGAGAACGACGCAAATCAGAAACTTGCACATTAAAAACAAGGTGACGAACAGTACAGTAATTTTAATTAAATTGCTCCCGAAGACTTAATTCTCCTCTGTAAGTACACCGATGTTTAGCGTGTGTGCATTCTTATCAATATTCAGGCTTCTCAAAGCGTGGAG